TCAGATCCCCTAAGAATGGGGACGCCCCCACTCCAGGTCACAGCAGGTTTACACAGGCGCTCACGCCCGTCGTGGTCTCAGCCTGGTGTCCCCTCGCCACCCCAGGCCAGCCTGTCTGTGCCTTATTGCTACTTTTGGGGAGTCTCCGAGGGGACCAACAGAGAGGGTCTCCCTGGCCAGTGCGCCAGTGGCCTCGCGCGGGCAGGCGGGGTGAGGCCACACCTCTTTGGAGGCTCAAAGTCTCCAAGTCCTAGGGTGGAGGACGGGCACCTGTGGATTCCCCCCAGTAAGTAGCGGAGCTCACAGTGGGGGTAGCCCTTCCCTGGGGATGGAAACATCACCCCACGATGGGGTCATTTGTTGACAAGGCCCCAAGTCAGCCACCCCCTGTCCTGGGTCCCCCCTACCATGCACACACTGGGCCCTTCTTCCTGGTGCTAATTTTGGGACCCTTGGAGTCACCTCTGCCCTCTTCTCTAGTTGGCTTGGACCAGGGTCCTGGGTTTCCCACATACCCTATACCCCGGAAGTCGGGGTGCGTCTGCCCGCGCTGCGGAGCCTCGCACTTCTAGGCAGGTTTAGGTTGCCCCACACACGCCTTGGGTGGGAGTGAGGGAATCCCCCATCTGCCGCCTGGCTGGACAGGAACCATGGCAGGGGGACACCCACCCGTGGGCAGGCGGCAGCAGCCACTTTGGTCCCAGAGGCGCTGCCCTGCACGCAGGCGCTGCCCTGCACCCTGGCGCAGGTTCAGCCCGCTCCGCCCTCGCTGGCTTCGGAGGACCACGCCCAGCCCACGTCCCTTCCCTGGGACACCAGCCTGGCGTGTAGGGTGCAGGACCACCTGTGGGGCCCTGTCACTGCCCGCAGCTGCAGTAGGGCTCCCAGAGGCCACGGAGTCTGTGTCCTGTCCTTCCTGTGGCCTGGAGGAGAGGCGCTCTTCCCTGAGGGGTGACCCGCGGCCGCGGCCGTGGTCATGGCACCCCTTCCTCTTCCTCCTCTGAGTCTGCCTGAGTCCCTGGAGCCCTGAGCCTCAGCTGAAGTGCCCTTGCTGCCCCCTTCTGCTTTTGAAGTGTGACGAGGCCCCACCCCCTCACTCCCATGTTCTTGACTTTCCCAGAGAAACAAATTAAAAAGAAAAAGTGTGCAAATGTGCAGAGCCAGGTCGACGTAGTTCTTGGGTTTCATCTGGGCGGGAAGGGGTGCGGCCATCGGGCGAGGAGGGCGGCCTCCCGGTGGAGGAGCCATAAAAAGCCAGGCCCAGCAGGACACAGGAGGACGCCTCTCCTCTGTGGCCACTGCACCCCTCAGGGTGAACCCCTCACGGTGGATCTTCCCCAGGACTCTGCGGCACCCGGACAGGTGAGGGGCAGCTGTGGGCAGCCACCCCGAGGGCTTCGGTCTTCCCATCCGCCACACCCATGTCCTTGGTCTGCGGGGTCGGGGATAGAGAGGTCCCTGTAGACACTCCCAGCTCTGAGCTAGGTCCCCAGGCACAGTGGAGACCCCATTTCTTTCTGTGGTATTTGGGAAGTTTTTCTCCTTTGGCCTCAGTTTCCCTGTCTGTATAGAAGAGCTGGCTGGGAGCCCTGTGTCCCCTAGAATACTGGGTATTCCAGGCTTGAGTAAAGTCTAACCCAAGCTGGCCTCAGACTCGCAGCAATCCTCCTGCTTCGGTTTCCTGAGTGCCGAGATCTCAGGTGTGTGGGTTCAAGTTGGGGCCCCTTTGAGACTCAGTTTCCCTGTGGAAGGTGGTTTGTGCCTAAGTTGTGGGGAGAGGGTTACTGATTCAGATCCCACCTGACCTGTGGGATTGGATGTGCCCCCCATTACAACGTCCACTTCTGCCAAACGGGGGTGAAGGGGTCCGAAGGGGCACCCCACACCCTGGCTTTGACCCTCTCCACAGTACTGTGTGGTAAGTGGGCTCTGTTATGCCGCCCATCAAGTCCCCTTGGAGTCACAGCTGGGACCACTGACTGGCAGGAAGAAAAGCCAGGCCTGGGGGTGGGAGCAGGTCGGGAATCCCAGCACTGTGTCCTCGGGTCCCACAGACCATGGACCAGAGCCCCTTGGACCCCGAGGGGGTGGGTGCCTTGGCCATTGCCAGCTTCTCATTGGGACTGGGTGTAAGCCTCACCTGTGGCCAGTGCTCCTGGGCATTTATCTTATTTGTTTATTTTTGAGTTTTGGAGACAGTGTCTCACTCTGTAGCCAAGACTGGCCTCAGACTAGTAGCAATCCCACGGCCTCAGCCTCCTGAGTGAGAGCTGGGATGGCAGGCCTGTTTCTCTGTACCGGCTTTCGCTGGGTATTTCAGAAGGCTTCATATTTCATGGGAACTTTTGTGTGACTATGACCTGGAGAATTCCCATTTCCTGGATGAGAAAACAAGGTTCAGAGGGTTGGGCTGGATCCAGCTCGACGCCCCGCTGACCCCTCCCAGAGAACAGCGACCCGAGACCTTCACCCTGAGTTTCACAATTCCAGCCACGGCGCATTCGAGGCTGGAAACAGCCACATGTGTCCTTCATTCTCGCCAGACCAGAGGGGGCGTCCACTGGAAGAGACCGACATTCAAAGGGGTCCCACAAGCCAGCCCAGGCTTGGGATTCAGGCTCCTCATTCCACGGAAGCAACAGGCTTTTGTGCGGCCCTGGGCCGGGGTAGCCCTCCATCAGCAGGGCTGAGAAAGGTGGGGAAGCCAGGCAGAGGCTCAGTTCCGGCTCTGTGGGGCCAAGGCCCACAGCGGGCACGGTGCCCGCCCTTGTCGGCCTGAGTATCGTTTTTCTGTCTTCTCTGGACTTTGTTTCCCGTGTCTGGGTGGGGACGGGAGGAGGGGCACACCTGCTCCCGGGTGAGGCTTCTGTCCCCTTGGCAACATGTGGCCAGGGCGGAGCCCAGGGGGCCTCCCTGCAGAGGACAGAGCCTGGGGCTGGGAGGCAGCCTGGGCACCTGGAGCTGGCAGGTGAGGCTGGGGAAGCAGAGTGGGGAGAGGGGAGGAGCTGTGTGCCGTGTGCCGACTCATAGAGCTGGCTCATCTACAGGGAGCCCCAGGGAACCCCCCCCCCCCCAGTCTATACCTCCACCGCCCTTGGTCCTGGCTGGGGCCCATGTTGTCCTCCTGCATCTGAGAACATGCTGTCTCCCGCTAACCCAAACTAACTCCTGGGCCTATGCGGATAGGACTTTCATCTGCACCCCAAACGCCAGAACCCTGAACCCCAGGTCACTGAGAAAGAGACTAGAGCCACAGACACCCTCATAGCCAGAGTCTGTGAGACCCCATGGATTCAGGGCCTGATGTGAAGAAAATACAGGAGCCATGGTCTGTCTCCTGCTCAGGCCCAGGCCGGTCTAGGTTATAGGATCAGAGGTCAGTCTTGGACTGGTTTCCCCAGAGCCAGCTCTCAGGCAACAAGAAGGGCCATAGCTGGCCCTGAGGGACAGGACAGAGGACTCCTAAGGACACCGTTCTACTGGGTGACCCACTGCCCCACCAAGGGGCCTTTGCCCTGAGGGTAGGAGGCCAGAGCCTGCAGGTGTGCCTGCAGGGACCATAAAGCCAGTTTCTATAGCGAGTCACAGTTCCAGGGTGCGGCCGGGTGGAGCAGGCTTCCTGGAAGAGGAGGTCAGAGTTGGGAAAGAACGGGCTTTGGAAAGGCCTCCATCATCTGTGTGCGAACTTCCAGCTTCACCTCTGTTCCCTCCGGGGCAGAGACAAAACTGACCCCCTTGTCCTCGTCCTCTGAGCCCTGAATAGAACACTGATGTGTGAGGTAATTGATGGACAAGGACTAACAACAGACCCCTGTGGGGAGCTGAAGGTCTTCAAGGGGCCCTTTGTCCCCACCAGGGCTTCTGCAGACTGGCCGCCAGCTCCCCTCTCCCCAGCTCTACCCACTGGCCCCTTAGGAGACCCTAACCCCTGCTGGATTTGGGATTTCGTTGATCAGATCTACAGCCACTATGAATCAGCTATTGAGTGCTTACTGAATGCCAGGCACCAAGAGCTAAATTAGGTTTTGTTGTTGCTGCTGATATTGTTTTTGTTTTTTTGAGACAGGGTCTCTCTCTGTAGCCCTGGCTGGCCTAGAACTCACAGAGATCCTCCAGCCTCTGTATCCCAAGTGCTGGGGTTAAAGAAGCAGGCCAGTACACCCAGCTGAACTCAGATTTATAGCCCCTTGGCAAGGTTGACCTACCAGCCCAGCCCATAACAGAAAGGGTTGAATCCCGACCCAGAGCTCACCCTCTGACCTGAATCACTGGGAAAGAATGAGGCCCCAACCCTAGGGAGGGATGACATCCCTTCTCTAGAGGTCATGTCTGTCTGTCCATGACGAGGGCCATAAAATACTGTGTACTCATCGGTCAGCGCACAAAGGTGGGTGCACAACAGCTCTGGGCTAGAGGAGGGGAGACAGCACCCAGGGACAGCAGGGTCATTGACAGTCTTTATTTTATTTTATCTTATTTGTTTATTTAGTTATTTACTTACTTATTTTTGGTTTTACAAGACAGGGTTTCTCTGTGTAGCTTTATGCCTGTCCTGGATCTCGCTCTGTAGCCCAGGTTGGCCTCGAACTCAAGAGATCCGCCTGGCTCTGCCTCCTGAGTGCTGGGATTAAAGGCGTGTGCCACCACCGCCCAGTAAGCCAGTCTTTATTAAATGCTTACTGTATGAATTAGAAATATCCACCCACACAGAATGGAATCACCCCATTCTCCGAGGCACTGTGAAGGAGAGCAGCACAGGGACTGCCCTCCACAGGAGGATTGCTAGGAGTGCTAGAAAAGCCTGGCTAAGGACAGCGCTCCGGGGTAGAGCCCCGCCCAGAATCCCCCAGTGAGGGGCTGGGGGCGTGGTCAG